AAAAAAAAATGGAGGAAGGGAAGGTGCTCGTGCAGCCCAGAGGGTGGGAGGAAGGCACCCACACTCCACCTGCCTCAGCAGTGGCCATCTCATTCCAGGCCAACGCCAGAGGCTGACATCACACCCCACGCCCTGGGTGCAACTTGAACAGAGCATTGCTCAACGCCAACCTATCTCCCTTTGAGATTGGGCACGGTTTTTCCATCCCCTTAGTCGCCCGGTCCAAAAAAGCACACACAATAAAACAAACACGGCACAAGCCTGGGGCATGACGACACAATCAACAGTGGCAGACAGAAGGGCCCAGCCCTCCGTGTTTCACCATCGAGAGCAAGTGCCTGTTCCCCTACCCCACCCCGGCGAAGCTGCCCACAGAGGCAGAGGTAGCCTTCCCATGGCCATGGCGGGCCACCAGGCCATTCTCAAGTCCTCAAGAGAAGACCAGCCCGGGAGAGGAGCTCGTTCCCCCAACGGGGAGTAAGACCTCCCACTGAGGGTCAGGCCCTGCCTGAGACAGACCTGAGACTTGGGCCTCTGCTCCACGCTGGCCTGACACAGTCTCTTGTCTTTAACATCAACGGATTACTTCTCCCCTTCTGCAACCCTGGGTAGATTTTATTACGCCAGTCTCTCTAAATGAGCAAAGAGGCTTCCAAATGGTTCAACAATCTCCCTGGCCGGTGATGGAGCCGGCATTTGAATCCAGCCCAGTGGAGGAAAAGGAAGGAGACCCACACCTAGCTCCCTGGGCAGACCTGTGTGCTCATGCGAGCCCCAGGACTCAAGGAGTAGAAGGAAAGATCCTTCTCGCAACATGCTCCAAACAGAGGCTCCCAATGCGGAGAGCTGCCCATGCCGGGGACAGCAGAGGGCCCTGCCCCCACCCAGGCCCGAGAAGCTACAGACAGACCCCTCTCCTCTTATTGGAAAGCTGAGCCATCAGTCCTGTAGGCCAGGCTGCAGGCAAGCAGGAAGCAGTGTCAGTGTCCCAGCTGGGGAATCGGGACTGGGCAGGAATGTGCAGGCTGGTCCTGCAGGCAGTGTGCCCCCCCACACTAGCCAGAGATGGTGGTCTGGGTCCATTCAATGTCTAGTTTTCAGCCCAAGGTCCTCGCCTCCTTTGGGCCTTTAGGGCTGAGTCTGTTGGGGCTCAGTAAGCCAGGACAGTAGTGGGGTGGGGAGAAGAGGGATGAAGAGAGCATTTTTAAAAGCTGGTGGCCAGTCTGATGTAGGCCCCGCCACCTGGACCTTGCAGAGCCAGAGCAAAATGGCAGACTCTGGCCCTTAGTGGGTAGGGACAAATCTACCCATTTTCAAACATATGGTCTCATTTAATTCAAGGAACAAAAAACCAGTAGTTTGGTTGAGTTTTTTCTTTTCACCCGCGGAGGGAGAGGAGCCCACCCCCTACAGCCTTGGAAAATACCTAGAGCAGCAGACAAACTAGCCAAAAGTCTTTCCATTCACTAGTCGTTCAAATCCTGGTTTCACCACTATCAGCCAAGTCACCCTAGGCAAGTCACTTGCATCCCTGTGCCTCAGTTTCCTCACTTACAAATCGGGGATAAGAATGCCTTACGCTCTGCGTTGGCCTGAGGATTAAATGAGATCACCTAAAACACCAGTGGTTATTATGTCACCTAGAAAGCAACCTGCCTCGACCAATGACAGCGCCGAGGTGTCCCCTATGGTAGTCAGCGCCAGCCCCCATTCTTGGAACTAGATAACTGAGTTTTCCAAGCGCGTGTAGGGCGCCAGGCAAACACAGCTCCCAGCCCACCTGCTAGGACCAGCTGGCCGCCCCCGGCCCCTCCCCAACGCACGCATTCCGCGGCCTTCGGGACCTGGACGCCCCCTCCCCGGGAGCTGCGCGGGGGAAGGGCAGTCTGCACTCACCTCCGCTTGTACTCGTCGCGCTCGCGCTTCACCTTGGCCAGCACGTTGTAGAGCGCGCGTATCTCCGGCGTGATGGTGTCGATCTGCACGCCCACGCCGTCGGGGTGCACCCACGACACGCCGGGGCCCTGCACCGTCTCCACGCCGCCGCCGCCCGTGCGCCGCACCTGCGTGTAGCTCCAGATGGTCCCGGGCAGGCGGCCGTAGTGCTGCGGGTGCGAGCCGCCGCCGGGGGGCAGGCCGCCCAGGGCCACGGCGTTGGCGTTGGCGCCGGCCGCCGCGCCGCTGCCGCTGCCGAGCCCGGCGCCGGCTGCGGGCGGCCGCAGAAGCTCGGGCCCGGTCTGCACGGCCTGCTCGCGGGAGAAGGTCTTGTAGCGCAGCCGCCGCTCGCGCTCGCTCTGCTGCTGTTCCAGCTGCTTCTCCAGCAGCCGGTTGCGCCGCTCCAGCTCGTGCACCTTGGCCAGGAAGCAGCGGAAGCGCACGTTGAGCCCCTTCAGGAGGTGGATGTTGGAGCCCAAGTCGTCCCGCAGCGCCGCCGTCACAGGCGACGGCCCCGGCCCGGCCCCGCCGCCGCCGCCGCCCCCGCCGGGGCAGCTCCCGCCGCCGCCGCCCGGCGGGCAGCCGAAGGCCAAGGCCATCTCCCCGAACAGCAACGAGTTCACCATGCGCCGGCTGCGCGGCTCAGGGCCCCGGGCCCGCGGCTCCAGATGCGGCTCCAGCTCCGGGCAGGGCTCCCGGCGCGGCCGGGCCAGGGCGGGCGCGGGCTCCAGCGCGGCCGGCCGG